ATTGCCTGAGTTTCGCTGACTGTGTGACATGAGAAAGTTTTGTTTTTTGCTTTTTTTTTTTTGAGACATAGTCTTGCTCTGTTGCCCAAGCTGGAGTGCACTGGCACGATCTCAGCTCGCTGCAACCTCCACCGCCTGATTCAAGCAATTCTCCTGCCTCAGCCTCCGGAGTACCTGGGATTATAGGCACCCACCACCATGCCTGGCTAATTTTTGTATTTTTAGTAGAGACAAGGTTTCACCATGTTGGCCAAGCTAGTCTTAAACTCGTGACCTCAGGTGATCCACCCGCCTCGGCCTCCCAAAGTGCTGGGATTACAGGTGCATTTCTTCCATCTCTCCTGTTTCATAAATGTTATACACATGGCACTTCTCTGATATCCTTGGAAGTGTTTGTATCGTGTCATTCTGGCACATGGCTCTACAGAGCATGTGAAGCATGCCGGCTTCTCTATTGCCCACATCATTTGAGAGAGCACATTTTTACATTGTTTTATTGTGGTAAAATATGCATGACATAAAAGTTACCATTTTAACCTTTTTTAACTCTGTCACCCAGCTGGAGTGCAGTGACGCGATTTCGGCTCACTGCAGCCTCTTCCTCCCGGGTTCAAATGATTCTCCTGCCTCAGTCTCCTGAGTAGCAGGGATTACAGGTGCCCACCACCACGCCTGGCTGATTTTGTATTTTTAGTAGAGACAGGGTTTCACCATGTTGGCAAGGGTGCTCTCAAACTTCCAACCTCAGGTGATCCGCCCGCCTCAGCCTCCCAAGTGCTGGGATTATAGGTGCGAGCCACCGCACCTGGCCCATTTTAACCATTTTTTAGGTGCCCAGCTCAGCGGCATTGAGTATATTCACAGTGTTGTGCAACCATCACCACCACCCGGCTCCAGAATGTTTTTGTCTTTCCAAACCGAAATTCTGTACCCATTGAACAATAGCCGCCCCCATCCCCCAGTTCTGCCTCCTATCCCCTGACACGGAGGCTGGGCCAGTGGATTTCCAGCCTCCCTCCAGACTTCTCCAGACTCGCCCCCGTTCTTCTCCCTCTTTGTCCCGTCAGCAAAGAAATGGTGTCTTTTCATCTTCAAGGTCCATCCCTTGCTCCTTGAATACACTCCAGGCCCAGTGGAACTGGCATTCTGTGGGGTGCATGGACAGGGTCCCTAGGGAACGCCCAGGGCACAGAACTTAGACTGGGCATTTGGAGAAGGTGTCCCAGAGGAAGTGATGTCTAAGCCAAGGCCTTACAGATAAGAGAAATTAAGTACATGAAAGGGCTGGGGACGGTGGCATTTCAGGCAGGCACAACCAGACGCGTGTTCTTCGTTATCTCCATGGTCTTGCTGCCCACCCGGTATCAACCGGCCACCGCTCCCCTAGAACTGCTTCTGGCCTCCTTCTCACCAGATCTTGTCTTCACTTGGTTCTCAGAGCCCATCACTTTGCTGCAAGTGTTTTTTGTTTTGTTTTGTTTTGTTTTCTTGAGATGGAGACTCACTCTGTCACCTGGGCTGGAGTGCAGTGACTCAATGACAGTTCACTGCAACCTTGAATTCCTGGGCTCAAGATCCTCCTGCCATACCTTTCCAAAGTGCTGACACTACAGCACAAGCCACCATGCCTGGCCCTTGCTGCAAGTTTTTTTTGTTCGTTTTTTTTTTTTTTTTTTTTTGAGACAGTCTCGCTCTGTTGCCCAGGCTGGAGTACAGTGGTGCAATCTCGGCTCACTGCAACCTCCACCTCCCGGGTTCAAGTGATTCTCCTGCCTCAGCCTCCTGAGTAGCTGGGATCACAGGCACTCACTACCATGCCTGGCTAATTTTTTGTATTTTTAGGCGAGACAGAGTTTCACCATGTTGATCAGGCTGGACTTAAACTCCTGACCTCATGATCCCCCCGCCTCGGCCTCCCAAAGTGCTAGGATTACAGACATGAGCCACCATGCCTGGCCATTTGCTACAACTTTTGATTCTGCTGCCCTGCTTTTCTTCCCCTCCCTGACCTCCTTTCCCTGCTGACTTTTGTTCCTTCCTCTGCCACTGAAGTGTCCTTCTCAGGTCCTTCTCAAGGTTGTGACCTTACTGCTGTCTCTTCCCTCCCAGTTATTTCTTTCGTAATCACTTCACCATCCTTATTTTTATCTCCTGCCCTGGCTCTCCCAGGGACCAGGACCATGCTTTCAGCTCTCATGGGCATCTCAAGCTTGTGTGTGAGCCTGGCTTTGCTGTCTTCTCCATCACCTCTTCACAGCTTACTCTGCATCTCCATTCACGTCTTCCCCAGTGATCACATCTCTGCAGTGGCTCTCGTTTCATCCCCCCCTCTCCTGGAGGAGTGGTGCGGAATCTCATTAATCCTTCCTCATGTCATTCTCCTTGCTTCTCTGTCCCTCGTCTCTACACTGTCTCATTTCCCCATGCGTCCTACGCTGTAGCCAGGCGGGTATTTCCTGCGCGGGTCTCAGATCCTCATATCTCTGAGGATATGCTGCTTCAGACGAGAGCTCCTCAGTGACTCCCGGTTCCTGAAATGACGTCCTGCTCCTTGGACAGGCCTCAGTCTCTTCACCCGTCTCAGCTCCTTCTTTTTGTTTTGCTTGTTTTTCTTAGCTTCCAGCCGGATTTCTAAGTCCTCTCCCTCTTGCCCCTCTTGTTGCCTTTGCTTAAGACTAAATGCCCTTTCCTCCCAGGTCCCCACTGCTCGGATTTCAGCAGGGTCCATCTCAAACATGCCTATCTCCAAGAAACTGCCTCTGATTTTTTTCATCAGAAGACACTTTTCCTCTCTGACTTCATCTGTACCCGCCTCTTGGAATTCACTACCTTGTGCCTTGGATTTTAGGTGTTTAAGTGGTTTCTATTTCCCCAGAATATCTTGAGGTCAAGGCTTAAGGCACTTTTATCTTTGTCTATACATTTCAGTATGGGGGCTTTTACATATTAGCTGCTCAATAAATAGATGTTGAATAAAGGCATGCGTATGATTTCAGTAAGACTATAAAACCTACAAAAATCAGTGTGTTCCTTTTTCACTCTTAGAAAACAAACCTACAAAGTAGTACAAGTCAGAGCCAAGAACAAAGATCTTGCATATTAATCTAAATTCTGTCTTTGTCAGCTTTCACAAGTAATTCATATTCCCTGTCTGCATCACGGGGATGATTATGGCCAGACATTGACCTTGGTAAAATTCTCTCCAGATTATGAGGAATCAAGTCAAATATGCCAAATAACGTAGTTTCTACTTACAGTCATGTTCATGCTTTAGCAGGAACCTCAAATACCACAAAATCTGTCAAGTTCTAACTTTCATATTTCTCGACAGTACCTGAAGTTCCTGTTTCTGTTTCCTCAGCCCAAGTTTCCAATTCAGTGAGCAGAACAACTGTGTTGATAAAAAGAGCCCACATACCTGCCTGACCTGCAGGGGTGCTGCCGATGCGAAAACGCAGGCTCCACGTGGCCTGCGGAGTAATGACTAGGGTCCCTAACAATAGGTCTCCACGTGGCCTGCGGAGTAATGACTAGGGTCCCTAACAATAGGTCTCCACGTGGCCTGCGGAGTAATGACTAGGGTCCCTAACATCGAGGGCTTCTGGGTTCAGCCTTGAGCAAAACAAAACGTTGCATAGAGGGAGATTTCTATCCATCCTGAGAGTCACTGTAATTCTCTCTTTCTGTCTCTTCATCTGTTTCTCTCTTTCTCTCTCACTCTCTCTGACACACACACACACACACACACACACACACACACAAGTGTAAGAGTGTCTATACGTTGCAGTTTCCCACACTTTTAATAAAAAAAAAATCTAGGCTTGAGGTTAGGTGAAGGTGAAAGTATTTACACTGCTAAGACATGGGGATGGATGAGTTTGGAATGAGGAGAAAGGCTTCTCTGAGAAGATTTAGAGATTGTTTAAAATGCTTAAAACACATTGACACCATGGAGTCAGCACATCTTTTCAGGTGAAACTCTCAGACCCAAGAAAATCGAGATAACTTAGAGCTGAGCTAATTCCACAGCCACCTCAATACACAAATGGGGAATCTGAGACCAGCATTGGCACCGTGCCTGAGGCTCTAAATCCAGGGCTTTTGACTCGTTTCTTCAGTAATGTGGATGGAGGGGGTGACATTAGCTGATGAGAAAGATTTAGGTTGTAGAAAGATGGGGTTAACATAAATGAAGGTTTACTGGGCCTGGTCTCCACTGCTGACTTCATGGCAAGCGCGCACACACACGCCCCCCTCCAAGATCAGAGTAAACCCCCCATATCCCTGTAGCATGGCCCTGATTGTAAAAACAGAGCCTCAGTCAGAACGGCAGAAACACAATGCCTCTCAAGAGATTTGGACACCACTTTTTCACACTTTGTTTTAGCTGCTTTGCAATATGTACTGAAATAAATAGAAAAGGGAAAGAATTGTAGCCTGGGCTGGCAGACAGCAAGCCCAACAAAAAGCAGATAAGAAATAAAATAAGGAAGATAACCCATAATGTAAAATAAAAATAGTGCATTGTTGCAAGCACTGATACCTTTTTTTTTTCCTTTGAGAATTTGCTCTTTCTTCCAGGCTGAAGCACAGTGGCTCAATCATAGCTGACCGCAGCCTCCAACGCCTGGGCTCACGTGATCCTCTCATCTCAGCCACCCAAGTAGTTGGGGCTGCAGGCACCAGCGATGGTGCTCAGCTAATTTTTGAAAATAGGGACACTAGTGTATTCAGCAAATTTGAGTGTCTACTGTGCATCAAGCACTGTTCTGGGCACTGGGAGAGTACAGGGAGCAAAAAAACAAAAGCCCCTGTGCTCAAGTGCTCAGATTCTAGAGGAGATGCTGGGCTCGCTTCCCACCAATACCATTCTGAAGATCCGGTGCCCCATCCACCCCAGCCCCTGGGTTTTGGTGGAAATTTAACTAAGTTGGAAAATGGATAATATCTCCATTCACATATGGATATAATTTTAATGAAGGTTGCTTTTTGATTTTTAGGGAGAAGAAAATGGCTTTCCAGATAGCACTGCAGATCCCCTTCCAGGTAAATGATTGATTTCTAAAGATATCTGGGCTGATAGCTAGTGTGGCTAAAGATAATCTGAGGCCGGCGTGGTGGCTCATGCCTATAATTCCAGCACTTTGGGAAGCCAAGGTGGGTGGATTATCTGAGGTCAGGAGTTCAAGATCAGCTTGGCCAACATGGTGAAATCCTGTCTCTACTAAAAATACAAAAATTAACCATGCATGCTGGTGTGCGTCTATAATCCCAGCTACTAACGAGGCTGAGGTAGGAGAATCGCTTGAACCTGGAAGGCAGAGGTTGCAGTGAGCCAAGATTGCGCCATTGCACTGCAGCCTGGGCAACAGAGTGAGATTCCATCTCAAAAAAATAAAATAAAATAAAAAACATAATTTGAGACTATGCTTATCATTAACTTTTAAAATCGATTCTGCAGAACAGAGCAACTTTCTACCCATGCAGAACTGCAGGGAAAGTTGTATCTTACAAAACATCACAAACGCCTTCAAAGAGTGTTTTCTCAGTGCTAACTTTCCTTTGCATGTACAGCAGGGTTCTGAATGGGGCAGGTTTAGGATCAGGCCAGTCAGGACTGAGCAGATTATCCTTCCCCCTGAGCTCCTTTTTTTTTTTTTTTCTGAGACAGAGTCTCACTCTGTCACCCAGGCCGGAGTGCAGCGGCGTGATCTCAGCTCACTGCAACCTCCGCCTCCCAGGTTCAAGCAATTATCCTGCCTCAGCCTCCTGAGTAGCTAGAATTACAGGCATGTGCCACTCACGCCCGGCTAATTTTTGCATTTTTAGTAGAGACGGAGTTTCACCATGTTGTCCAGGCTGGTCTTGAACTCCTGCCTCCGCACCTGGCCTTCTTCCCTCTGAGTTCTAAAAGCCGTAGCATAGGTGGAGAATGTGCTATTTGTTGCTTGGTGGAAGGGACCAGTAGCCAGCTGGGTCATCTCTCTCCATGTGCCTTCAGCACTTAGGTAGTCAAAGCAGCCCTCCTGACATTAGGTCAGGCGTCAGTCCCCGCTCCTTTTCTGCCTTTAGTGTGTCTCAGCAAGGAAACATTAAAGTGTATTTCCCCTCCCCCTTTTTAAATCATAACACAGACATTTTTGCAATGTTTAAATTTCTTGTTAATTAATTAGAGAGGATAGGGAGTAAGGGAGCAAGCATTAAAATAATCTAGTGATGGCCAGGTGTGGTGGCTCACACCTGTAATCCCAGCACTTTGGGAGGCCAAGGTGGGCAGATCAGTTGAGGCCAGGAGTTCGAGACCAGCCTGACCAACATGGTGAAACTCCATCTCTACTAAAATTACAAAAATTAGACCAGCGTAGTGACAGGCACCTGTCATCCAAGCTACTCGGGAGGCTGAGGAAGGAAAATCACTTGAACCCGGGAGGCAGAGGTTGCAGTGAGCTGAGATCGCGCCATTTCACTCCTGCCTGGGCGACAGAGCAAGACTCTGTCTCAAAAAAAAAAGCTAGCAAAATAATAATAATTTAAAAAAACCCATACCTCACCAACATTTTCTACATCTTTTAAACCATACATTGACTGACTGGAGTCACCAGAGTTTTGTTTGTGTCTTTCTTAAGTAGGGTGGGGGACCCCTAGAGCCCTCGGGGGCAGCTGTCATCAGCCCAGGTGACCAAACTGAAAAACCAGAACAGGCAATGCATACTTAACATTTTTGTCCTTAGAAACATGATATCAGAAAATACACCGATATCAACATGTGGGCACTGGTTACCTCTGGAAGGTGCCGTTCCAGCTGATTTTTTTTTTCATTCCATAGATTTTTTTTTTTTTTTTGAGATGCAGTTTCAAACTCTTGTTGCCCACACTGGGGTGCAATAGCACACCACTATGCCAGCTAAACGTATTTTTAGTAGAGAAGGGATTTCACCATGTTGGGCAGACTGGTCTAGAACTCCTGACCCCAGGTGATCCAACTGCCTCGGCCTCCCAAAGTGCTGGGATTACAGGCATCTCACTTCACTGTTGCCCAAGCTAGTCTCGAACTTCTGAGCTCAAGCCATCCTCCCACATCAGCCTCCCAAAGTGCTGGGATTACAGGCATGAGCCACCACACCTGGTGAGTTTTAGTTTTCTTTCCACTATCCTATATTTCTAAAATTTCTAACATGAGCTGGTATCAGAACTGTCCCTCCAAATTTAATCTGTGTATACAAATTTATATGTAACAAATCTGTGTATTTAATCTAGGCATACAAATGTACATATAACAAATGATCACATATCGGTAAGTAAACCTTGCTGCATGATGAAATAACCAAGGAAATTCCTAAAAGGTTAACTGTAGCTGGTCTGGGTAGTGGGAGCATTAATTTTTTCCATACACTCATCTGAATTTTCAGATTTGCTATGACAAGCACATGTTTATTTTCCAATTTTAAAAATATGTATTTAAACTCTTTAAAGACTAACGCCTCACACATTCCTGTGTCATGTTAGCTAAAATAGAAATGAATACAGAAATTTGTTTCGAAATATTTATAAATCCTTCAAGGACTCTTCTGAATGAAGGTCATTGTTAATTAGTAGATTAATTTTAATCAGGCTTCTTGTCATCTTCAAATATTTTTTACTTGTGTCAAAATGAACCACCAGAGTTTTGTGTCTTTTTTAGACAGAGTTTCGCTCTTGTTGCCCAGGCTGGAGTGCAATGGCACAATCTCAGCTCACTGCAACCTCTGCCTCCTGGGTTCAATCGATTCTCCTGCCTCAGCCTCCCAAGTAGCTGAGATTACAGGCATGCGCCACCACACCCGGCTAATTTTGTATTTTTAGTAGAGACGGGGTTTCACCATGTTGGTCCAGCTGCTCTCGAACTCCTGACCTCAGGTAATCCACCCGCCTTGTCCTCTCAAAGTGCTGGGATTACAGGCATGAGCCACCGCACCCGGCCTGAGTTTTAAAAAGAATAAACTTTCTCAACAAAGCAGGTAATATGATGATGTGTTGGGAGCCCACCCCTGAGTGCTGCCTGAGTTGATACCTTTAGCACCTCACATGGTACTTGGCACACAAGTACACTCAGGTATTTTGTTTTGTTTTCCGTAAACAAATAGATAAGAGACATGACTTAATGGCTTTGCTCTTGCATGAACAACTGGCAAAAGCAGAGCTACATAGTCCGTCTTTGAATGTGTGTAGCAACTTAAGGAAAATTTGTTTTATTCACAAACACTAATTTGGCACAGAGTGAGTACCAGGCGCTCTTCAAAACACTTGACACATGTGAGTTGCTCATGACAGCCCTGTGTATAGGTCCTGTTCTTTTCTTCACCTTATAGATGTGGTGACTGAGGCCTGATCCTAAACCTGCCCCATTCAGAATGCTGCCGGCTCCTTATATGCAAAGGAAGGTTAGCACAGAGAAATACTCTTTGAAGGCTTTTGTGAAGTTTTGTAAGATACAGCTTTCCCTGCAGTTCACTGTGGGTAGAAAGTTGTTCTATTTGCAGTACAGATTTTAAAAGTTAATGATAAACATAGTCTCAAATTATCTTTTTATTTTATTTTATTTTATTTTATTGAGATGGAGTAAAATCCACCCTCACACCCCCAAACGCCCATCTCTGGCTGCTGACATACCTTTCCCAAAAGCCTGCCACTTTCCATGGATGAAGCCCTGGGGCCTTAACTGACAGCCTACTTTGCATTTTATTCTCCTCATTGGAAAGCCTTTTCTGTCTGTGATCCAGTCTACAGCTGGTGAAAATAAGCCACGTGGAGGGGGAGGCACTGCCTTGGAAGGAGTCTGCAGAGGGGTGAGGGATGACAGCTGGCAGTTTGGAATCAAGGAAAGAGGAAGAATACAATTTGCACTCTACTCTCACCAGGAAAGCAAAGCTGCCCTGGTGGAACCCTCTGTACAGATGCTAGCACCGCTTGGGGCAGAACACAGGGAAAGAAAAGACATTCCTACTCTTGCCCTGGGTTAAAACAACCACCACCACCAATTATGTGTGGCTTATCCTCTTAAAGGTGCCATGAAAGCATGTTTTCAGAAGGAAAACATGTTGGGCGTTTAAGGAATAAGACACGTGCATGTGTGTTTGTGTGTGTGTGTGTGTGTGTGTGTGTGTGTGTGTGTGTGTATTTAATTGCCCAAATTAGAATTCTGATCTCATTTCTCCATTATACCCAATAAATCAAAGCATATTTATTTTTTATTTTTATTTTTGAGACAGAATCTCACTCTCTCATCCAGGCTGGAGTGCAGTGGCTCTCGATCTAGGCTCACTGCAACCTCCGCCTCCGGGGTTCAAGTGATTCTCCTGCCTTAGCCTCCCGAGTAGCTGGGATTACAGGTGCACACCACCATGCCCAGCTAAGCATAACTGGTTTTTTTGAGACATGGTTTCCTCTGTCGTTCAGGCTAGAGTGCAGTGGCGTGATCTCAGCTGACTGCAACTTCTACCTCCTGGGTTCAAGCGATCTCCTGCCTCAGCCTCCTGAGTAGCTGGGATTATAGGCACACACCACCACGCCCAGCTAAGCATAACTATTTTTTGTTGTTTCTTTTTGGAGACATGGTTTCCTCCGTCATCCAGGAGGGAGTACGGTGGCACAGTCATGGCTTACTGCAGCCTTGAACTTCTGGCTCAAGTGATCATCTTGCCTCAGTCTCCTGAGTAGCTGGGACTACAGGTGTGTGCCACCACACCTGGCTAATTTTTAAAATTTTCCATAGAGACAGGTCTCACCAAAGGCATCACCCCTAGGTGTATAAAATGAACAAATAATTGAAGAAAAACCCTGGTTCTGGTACTCCCTTCTAGTGGCAGTGATACAGCACTTTGGCACCTGATGCCAGCTTTTCAAGGATGACTTTCTGGTGACCTTGCATAATTCAGCACTTGCCTAATCTAACTTTCCCATAGAAATGAATGTACAATAGGATTTCATATTTTTCAAATGAGGTCCATGAAGTAACATGGTTAATATGTCTGTGTTACATCATTTCAAAACCACATGATTCAAATTCA